TATAAAGGTGACACTCTAAGACGTTGTATACTTAGATTTGTATTAAGCGGTTGGCAATTTTTTTTTCCTGGAGAATAAAATTGTTTTGGAGAATATATTTATTTGAATGTATTATGGAGAACATACTTGTTAAAATTTTGAATATATTTATGTTGAGACGCACAGTCTCATCTTGATGTTAAAAAATGCTAAGTTGTTAGCATACAACAGTTTTTTACCTATTTATGATTTACCTGTGAAGAGTTGATGGTTGTTAGCAGTTTTTAATAAGAGTAATTCAGGGTTGTCAGAGACTCGAGGTGAATTTGCCTGTGCTCTGCGATGCCGGGCAGCTCAGCCCTCACAGGAGCTCAGTGTGTCTGCCCAGATTGTCATAGGCTCACTCACTCACGCTCTGAAAAACGGGGCCTTCATTCGACTCCTGCAGGGAAGACGGTGGTGCCAGACAGGAGTTGGGAACTTGAATCACTGTGGTGCCAGCAAGATTGTCTTCATCAGAAGCGTCACTTCTCTGCATCGGGTTGAATTCCTGTGGGTTAGCAAAAATTTTAACTACCTTATAGGATTATTTAAAAAGATAAACATCATTATTTGTTACAATGATGGGTACGGATAACTAGAATAATTGGTGAATCCCGTGAAAATCTCATATTATTGATTGATTTCAAGTATCATCTCAAAAAAGTTGTATCAAGGTTGACTCGTTTTCATTTTGTGATCCATCACTCATTTGGTTCCCAACCTTCGGTGAATTTTCAAATAAATAGTGAGATGTCCACAGTGAGGAAGTGAAGCAGCAGAAGCACGGTCGGCTCCTGGACGCAGAGTCCTAGACGTAAGCGTGGGGCTGGCGGGGGCATCTGGCCCCGTCGCCGCGTCCCGTTCTCTGCTTGGTTTCATGTGTCTCGTAAGTAAGAGACGATAGCACTTGGAAAAATAAGACCTGGAGAGGTTACGGGTGCAGATGCTCTTCAGTCTGGTTGGGCTAAAATCCACGCAGAGGTGCAACAGTCGGGAAGCTGACATCCCAGCGTTAACTTGACATTTTCCATTTCCATGTTCCTTTGGGGATTTACTAGCACGATCTTGGGCAAGGGGTTTAATTTCCCGAGTCTCAGTTTCCACCTCTCTCAAGTGAGGTTAATACGGGACCTTCCTCCCAGGTCTGTCGTGAGCAGTGAATGAGAGAATTTCCGTGGAGTCATGCACGGCCGAGGCTGGAGGGATGCCTTCCAGAAATCTGCACTGGTCCTAATCTTTCTGCCCCTTACGCCGTTTTCACTAGTCTTTATTTTCAGAGTGGCCTCCGAAACTCCCTCATCATCTCCTCATTTTGGCCCCTTCCTCTAGTCCAGCAGTGACTCAGGACACCGCGGCCATGTGGGGCTGTGCGTGCGGCCATCAGGCTCTCCTGAGAGCGGGGCGTGGCCGCCCCTCAGCGGGCTTCCATCGAGGTCAGGACGCAGACGCAGTCCATTTCGCCTGTTCTGCTGACTTAGTAGCTCCCAGCAGCAACCTTGTTTAACTCGGTTAAACACCAGGAACGTGTGGCTTCAGAAAGGAAGTGCCTTAGTGAGGAGGCCCGGCCCAGCTGTCGACGGGAAATCCTTCCTGCCACTGACAACCAGGCAGGCAGAGGACCCCACGGCTGCTGCCGGCTCTGACCTCGAGCTGCTAAAAGCGCCCCATCTCTCTCTTCCAGGCGGCGCTGGGCGTCCAGGTAATCAGGGTGGCAGCTGTCACAGGCGGGCCCCTGAAATTGCACATGCTGTATCCGTCCATTGATTTTTGAAATGAACTCCAGCTGCTTTCTGAGGAAGTTCAGACCATGACATGACAGCTGATGGCCACGTAGTTTAAAGATAAAACAGAAACAACTGCGTGCTCGTTTTGAGTACAGTCAGCACCCTCTCGTTTGTCCGACTTGCACAAGAACGGAGCCACTGTTGTCCTGAGCCATCTGCCTGCCGGAGCCGTGACAGCGAGACGGGAGGGTCTGATGGGGTCACCGCGCGGCTCCGGTCATCGAGGTGTCTCCTTGGAGAGCGAGCCGGCCACTGAGAACATTCTGGGCTGGCGAACCTCATCATTATCTTCAAGGCTGTTTTAGATAATCTCGTAATGGAGGAAAATGTTCAATTTCTGGGCTGTGAGGGTGGAAGAAGGTAGGGCCAGGAGGCTCACGGTGGGCCTGACATCCACGACGGAGGCGCCGGACTCCGCATCTCCTTACGTTACCCCTTGTTGAAGACAAGCTAGGAAACGGGGTTCGTGGAATCTCATAGCAACCTGGTAGGGAAGTTGGTTTGTGTCTGGCAGGGGCCTAGACTTTGGAGAGAAAGAAAAAGATAAGAGCTGGTCACGCCCTCAGCAAGCCTGCAGCTCGTGGACAGACAGGACTGAAACACGCAAAATCCTCAGAGACCTTTGAAAATAAGTGGCGTGCTGGGTGGCTTGGAGTCAACGTGCAGAGGGAGGTTCAGGGAAAGGAGGGAGCTCGTGGCCTTCGGGGTGAGAGCTGGTGGGGCCTGCTTGGTGGCCAGGAGCTGGGGAGGGGGGGACAGGGCCCTGTCTTCCTGACGCCGGACTGTGGGACTCGTCCCCCTCTGATGTGATGTGGCGGGATTTCTCCTGAGCACTGAGCTGGCGCTGTGGTCAGCACCGGATGGCTCCCTTGAGACCCGTGCCCTGTCACCAGGGCACAGGTGCCTGCGGGGCTGCCGTGCAGCCAGGCCTGTCTCCGCGCGGAGCTCAGGGTCCCAGCAGACTTCATGTAGATGCAGACGCGCTCGAGCACCAGGCTGGCTGAGGAACAGACGGACCTGACCTGCAGCTCCTGGCAGGCAGCGACGAGGCAGACACCAGGGTTCCGAGTGGACTCCTTTCCCAGTTGGCAGCTGACCTCCCGGTGGGGCTGACATGCCAGCTATGCCAGCTCTGAGAGGTGTCCCTGGGATCCCGTGAGTGAGGGGACGGGGTAGAAGGGCCCGTGTCTGCACCACAAGCACACACACCTCTTTAAAAACATTCTTATTTTAAAACCTCATAACGTGAAAGCCTCTGGAGAGCGTGTTTGGGAGGTTTGGGGGACTCGTCCACCCTTGATGGGAGGGTCCCCAGCCCTGAGGGCTACTTACTCAGGAAGCAGGATGGGGGGGGGCAGCCCCTCAGCTGCAGACCGGGACCGACCTCTCCTTCCTCACCTTAGGAAGAATGGCTTGGAGGTTGGAGAGGGTTTGGAGTCACCAGCAGGGGTGTGGCGAGCGGGCCTGGCACAGTCAGTAAAAGTGGCGCCACCGGCAGCAACCGCTGTCCCCACCCAGAGATCACATTCCAGCTCCTTCGCTGGGCTGGCGGCCCGTCTCCCCCCAGGGAAAAGGTGGGTGTAGCGCGAGGCGCCACCGTGGGCGGAGTGCCTCCCAGCCCAGACCTGCCGCCAGCTCGCGGTGGGACTCGCTGATCACAGCCTCCGGAGCGCTTCCTCCACTGGGTGACAGCATCTTCCGAGGGACGCGGCGGTCAGCCTGGGAATCTCGGAGCAGTCGCCCCCAGTCCCGTCGCTGCGCCTGCTTCTCTGCATCTCCTCGGGGCGCAGAGGCGTCTGGAGCCCTCCCCTGACGCCAGCCGACGTCACAGCCCTTGTCGACGCGTCTACGCGGGGATTCTGCCTCTGCCCTTCCCGAGGCGTCCCGCTTGCCCGTGGTCTCGCTCACCTGCTGGTCCCTCCTGCCCGCACACCTGAACCATCTCAGCAGGCTGCAGGGCCTGCCCGGCACCCATCTCCACGGCCCCCGCCTCTGGGACCCCCCTTGGTTCCTTCTCGTGCCCTGCGCCCCCGCTGGCTCTTGGAGTCACGCGGTCCTAGGACAGCCCATCGGGCACCCCCTGCATGTTCACCGCCCTCCACTCACAGGGTGCCGCCCTCTGTGGGGGGCGGGAGGGGCAAGCGGGCTTGGCACCTGGGTCCCCGCGGTCGTCCCCCGGGCGTGTCTGTGTCCCCACCTCCTCTTGCCATGGGGACCCCAGCGGTGGTGGATGAGGAGCCACCTGCTGACCTCACGGACCCTGTTGCCGCGTGAGGCCACATTCTGAGGTTCCGGGTTTACGACGTGAAGGTGTGCGTTTTCGGTAACACAGTTCAGCCCCCAACGACACAGGCCCTTTCCCTTGTTGGTGACTTTGCTGCTTGTGTCCCCACTTGGATATAAACCCCAAGAAGCAGCTCAGTGTCTGTTGCTGAATTTCCCGGCCAGCACCCGGCACCCAGTGGCTTTCTTGCACATTTGCTGAATGAATGAATGAATGATAGGCTGGGACGAAAACCCCAGCTGTCGACGGTGCTCACGTAACCGCAGGCGAGTTCTCCTCTGAAGGGCTCTGACGGGCTTTCACGGGCAGCACCTGGGGTGCGAGACAGGCTGGGCTCAGGGACCTGAGTCACATGCGCTGCTGGAGGTGCCCCCCTGGGGACGCTGGACTTGCTGGGGGTCCGAGGCTCCATGCTGTGGCACATGAGCCCCTTTGGGGAGTCGCTGCTGCTGCTGCGCTGTCCTGCCATCCTTAAAAGTGTGACTTTTCAGTATCCTCACTGGCGCATAACTCATTTTAGAAATGAATCCGAATCCACTTAAAGACATGCATTCCCTCCGCACGTTTGACGCCCCTCCTGAACTTGGCTTCCCGGCCTCCGCCCCCCCTCCCACCTCCACCCCGCTCTCCCCTGCTCCCCGGCTGAGATGAGCCAGTTGCTGGCTCCTGGGCCCATCACGCTCCCCTAACAACCCCGTTCGCATTGTGGTGTTGGTCTTCTTGCTGGAAAATGCAGGTGGTTCATCACGGTTGGGGAGGCCTCTGCTCCCGGGTGGCTGCAGCCCGGCCCTGATGTGACGGGTACAGCCGGGGCAGTTCTCCGAGCAGGGCAGGGCGGGAGGGTGGGCTGCAGGGGTCCCTGCTCCTCAGGTGTGACAAGCCCGCCACGTAACTCTGTGCTCTCCCCGCAGCCCGCTGAGCCCAGAGAAGGGGACGGAGGTGCTGGAGGACGTGGCGCGTCTCCTGGACATGCCGGCGGGCATCTTCTCGGACATCGCGTGAGTGTGGGCGGGGCCCTGGGCGTCTTCTCCATCTGGTGGGTCCACTGTGCGCTTGTGGGCTTCGTTAATTGTGTCACAGAGAAACTGTGAGGGAAGAAGAGGAAGGAAAGGCCCAGCGGGGCTCAGGTTGTTTCTGTAAGAGCAGCTGAAACCCAAGCATCATCAGAAGGACCATAGTTCCCTGAAAGAACCCCGCCCCAGGCTTCAGGTCTCCCCGCTGCGCCAGGAACCACCCAGGAGGCTCTAGACCGTCGGGATGGCCTGGCCCCCGCAGGCGAGCCAGGGCCTCGGGGCTGGGCCCTCAGCTAATGAGGCTCTTCTGACAGCTATGCGCACGTGGTGGTCCACGGGGACGGTTATCGCTACACAGATGTTTACCAAGCGCTGAGTGCCCGGGTGGAGTGGAGAGCAGGTGGGGTTCCTGCTCTGGTGAGCTGAGCTCCCTGCAGAGGTGGACATGTAGACAGAGCCAGAGAAGGTCAGGCGCCTTCCGTCCCGTCCCCGTGAACAGAGGGATGAGGCCAAGAGGGAGGAACCTGGGGCAGGAGACCCCACCCACGGAGGGGGGACGTCCACATGGGAGGGTCATGCGGCCATGGGAGCCCGGCCCAGAGCCCAGGTGACCTTGGTCCCAGTGCTGGAGCCACCGCGGATGTTCTCCAGGAAGGTGCCTTTCCAGCCGCCCGGAGAACGAACTACAGGGGACCCAGGTGGAGCCCAAGTGCCGTGAGGCTGCTGAGGTCTCCGGTGATGGGCCGTGGCCTCGGAGCAGGAGGGGCGGCGGGAGGGGCGGGTGCGAGATGAGTCACCCGCTGGCAGAGGGTCCATGTCTGTTCCGTTAAGCCGCACGCAGGCCCCCGAAGCCACTTGTATTCCCACCTGTAACATCAAGGGTCCGTTACAGCTGTCCTCTGTCAAATCGCATTGATTGGCTGTGCGTCCGGCACCGCTCCGGTGTGCAGGACCTCCAGGAGGGTTTGGTCATCAGACTCAGGCCCTGGAGTGGGAGGGCCTCACGCAGTCCAGCAGGGAGCCGTTCCTGCTGCCCGTGGCCACTTCCACAGGCCCTTTGGCCCCGTCACGGTCTCCGCGTGGCCCAGTAAGCAGGACAGACGGCCTGACCTGGAGGTTCTGACTGTTCCCTTCAAAGAGGAGGAGGGGGTCTCTGGAGCTTCCTGCCCCGTTCCTGGCTCCCGTGGGCAACTCCCCTGGGCTGCACACACCACGGGGTCCCCACGGGCTTGGCCAGTGAGGACCCATCTCAGGTCCAGGGGTCCCTGCTGCATGTCTGCATAGGCACACCTGGCACGCTGACCACACGGCGTGGGTGTGTGTTACACACGCGTGACGGAACACACGCATGACGGAATGAGTGATGGCACAGGCGGGTCTGGCACCCCAGACGGCCCCCCAGTGACACTGCACCCCTCCCTCTGTAGAGGGGACATTGAATGTGGCCCAGGGCTGAGGGAGGGAGGGAGGGAGGGAGTGGGTGCCTCCTTCATCAAAGGCAAGAACCTCGTGCGAGAACTCTAAGGGCCTCAAGTACCAGGCAGAGGGGTCCTGAGACCGGAGCTTCCAGGAGCAGGTGGCGGCCTGCAGCGCTGGGAGACCGTCCTCGCGCCTCAGAAGTAATCACCCGAATGAGCTCTAGGGTGGGCCTCCTTAGGCCCCCGCGGGGCTGTGCTCATGGAACCTTCATCATATTCCGTTAGCAAAACCCTCCGTGGTGACCAGGCAGCAGACGGAAGGCAGAGGTCCCAGCCCCGGGCTGTTTCCTGGAGACGTGCCCTGTGCTGCCCCCCTGCCGCCCCTCGTTTCTTAGAAACCTTCCAGATGGGATAGAGGCCGGGGCTGCGCGCCCCCCCACTGCTGCCACGGGAGCGTTTGAGGGAGGGTTGGAGAGGAAAGGGAGTTGTGGGAAGTGGCGTCAGTCCTGGGGGGCTCCAGTGGGGGGCGCTCGGGCCTGGGGGCCTTTGGGAGACGCTGCCTAGCCTGCCCGGCACTCCTCTCTGGCCCCTCACCTGGGTCTGCGGCTCAGTCCCTCCAGGTCTGGAGACTCTGGGGACACAGGGGTGTTCTGGGGGCTTTCCAGGCTCGGAAGCTGGGCCGGTTCCCAGACCAGCTCTTTTGTAGACATCACCTGCCAGTCTCTTTCCTGCTCAGGGGACAGGGGCTTCCGACTCCCCCAGGGCCATGCTGCACCCCGCTCTTTCAGCCTTTGGGAGTCTGGTCCAGGGCCCTCGTGTGACTAAACCCCCGAGCGGCCCTTTCCCTGCAGCCTCGCCCGGCCCTGGAGCCCCCCCGTCTGCCCTCGAGTTTGCTTCTGGGTGCCCAGGCCTCTTGGGAACCCCCGTCCTGCCCAGTTAACGCTCGTCTCGCACCTCTGAGTATTTAATGCTGTACGTGGTCTGCGGGGGTGTGTGTGGTGTCCCATACCACACATGCACGTCCTGTGTGTCACCCCCAGGACCCAGCACATGAGGACACGCACCAGCCGCAGGGACTGACCTGGGGGGGGGCCTGGGGGGGCGACCGCGTGGCCAGCACGCTCTCAGGGCTGGTCATCGTGGCAGGAGAGGAGAGGAATCTGCCCCACAAGGCGTCACTTCCAGGATTGTCTGCATGTTTATGGAAGTACTAGTTATGCTTCATATGTTTTGTTAATGGTTATGTAGCTGTCAGGCAAATTTCATTATTTCTTATTACATCGTTAGAGGCCATTAAAACGGCATCAGCACACTGGGGTAATTATGCAGGCAGACGCACAACGACCGCGGTTGTGATTTTATAATCTAATCATGGCTGTCCGAGGACGCAGTGCTGATTGATGCGGCTCTTAGTCAGGTGGGCGGTGCTGCAGGGCCTCGCAGGCTCCCAGCCAGTGGGAGCTTCAACCAGCTCAGGGAACGCAGGCGCCAGCCTCATCCCGGGTCCCCCTTCGGGTCCCCCTTCGTGAGTCCTCGTGAGGCAGGGAGCGGTGTGATTTCCCTTCCGTGTGGTCGACTGCACTGACGAAGGGCAGTTCCTGAAGACGCAGCGGGAACTCACGGCCTGACGTGTTCACGAGGTCCTGTGCACAGGCCAGGTCAGCTGGACCCTGCAGGAGCCCGGCTAGGATGCGGCCCCCTGTCCCGTGCCCACCGCTGACCCTCCACACCTCCCTCCCCATGTGAGGACCCCCGCAGGTTTGGAGGATTCTGGAAGACGTGCTTCAGTTTCCTGGAGCAGAGATTGTACTTGTTTGTCTCCTGTCTTGTTTCCCTGGCGACTTGGCAGAACTGCCCCTGTTTTACAGCTGGGCAAACCGAGGCCTCGGAGGTTAAGGCTCAGCAGGGTAACAGATGGCGACACAGGACGCGGCTGTGCAGTGGAGACTCTATGCAGAGGCTTTCACATCCCCGCGCATCAGAGCAGGTGCTGGGGAGCGAGCGCCTGAGCTCACGTCGTGTTCGGCCATAAGGGGTTGGATATGCCCCGTGCAGCGGGGTGACCCTTCCCTCACTGGTGCCAGGGCCAGGGCTCGGCTGCACAGGGGCTGGGCCGTCACAGACCAGGTGTCAGGTAGGGAGTCGGTGACGGCAACACGGACCCTCCATACAGGGCGTGCTTTCCACGCTAGGCGGTCCCAGGGTCACAGCTGTGCATCCCGGGGTCACATGTGTGCATCCCAGAGGCATGTGTGTGGCGTCCCGGAAGGAAGGAGGGCCCTGGTGCCATCGGCCTCTCCCGCTGGTCCCACAAGTGTTGGGGCAGGTGAACAACCCCTGTGTGCTCCGTCTTTGGGAATCCACGGACACCCGTGAGATCTTTAGAGAAAACCGTCGGCACTGGAGGGAAGATTAGATTTGGGGGGGTCCCACGTTCCTGGAACTCTGCAGACGTAGTTTAGATTAGACACGTCCCAGAAGCCACGCTTAAACCCAGAGCCGCGCCGCATGGATCTGCTGTTAGTACTTTGATGGTGGGTGTGGACGCTCGTGTTAGGAAGCAGTTGCACTAGATGTCGTGACTCAGTCCCAGACATAGCCCCACCATCCACACGTGTGTCAGGCGCCGGTGGGAAGCGTCGTCACACGAGTGATCTGCACAGTAATTAGCGTTTAATTCAAGCACAGACATCAGGCAGTCGCTGCACTTGCTAGAGGCCCCAGAGCAACGGTTTTCAGACTGTTTGTGGAACTGGGGTTGGAGCAGAGAGGGGGAGGAACCCGATTCCCACGGCAAGGGGGGAAGACACCACGGCAGGAAGTCTCCAGGGGCCAGGGAGGCCCCCTTGTCCACCCTGGGAGCATCCAGCAGGGGCCGGGGAGAGGTTTGCTGCATCCCCTCGGACCCTGGGGCCTGGGGAGTCCACAGAGGATGCTGCATGCGACGTGGGCGGAGGGTCGGACAAGTCTTCCGGGTGCCACACGTAGGGGGGGCGGGGCCCGGGAAGACTCGGCTCGGCCGCAACAGCAGGGGTGGAGAGGGAAGGTGGCACTGCTGCAGGACGTGGTGACGTTTCTTGTACAGGGAGGTGACCGGGAGGCCCCGTGGCTGGATGAACCACCAGAGCTGTGGGCGCCACGGCAGGAGCTGCTTCAGGAGCGCTCGCTGCGCTTGCGGCGAGGCCCAGGCTCCTGGGTGGAATGTCCGACAACAGAGGTGCTGGAACGACGGCCATGCTACCCCTGGGGGCTCTGCAGTTCCCTCTGCAGAGGACCCGGCTGGCCAGGGAGCTGGGCCAGAGGCCGCCTGAGGGACAGGACCCGAGCGAGACCAGTGGTCACGAGTGGAGGTAGCCCCTGAATGCCAAGAAGCCCTGAGGCTCGTGGAGGCGTGGTCTGAGCTCCCACGACCTGGAGCAGTGGGCCGGCCTCTGGATGATGCGCTCGGGAAGGAGGGGAGGGGACAGAGTGGATGCAGAGGAGGTGGCACGTGGCACACGCCTGACTCGGTGATTTGGTTCCTGCTAGCGGTGTTTCTGCCGTTTCTGAGAGTGTCGCTGTCCTTTCCACGTAACTCTTCTCAAGCGCGGTCCCTTTCACTTGAGTCTCACTCTCGTGCACTTTTCCTTACATCACCCTTATTAGGAGTGCCTTTGAAATGATCCTGTCATAGACGCTGGAATTGGCGTGGAGTGGGTGGGAGGCCCGGCAGGGGGCAGGGCCAGGTTAGAACATGCAGGTGACAGGCGGCCTGGCAGCGTCTGGGGAGGTGCAGGGTGGTGTCACCTGTGACTCAGCTGGGCTCCCTTTAAGGGAGGACAGCCCTTGGGTCCTCATGGTCCTCGCCGTAAATGGAGGCAACCGCGCCTGCTTTGCTGGAGAGATTAAACACGGTACACGCGAAGTTCCCATGCACATGGAGGCTCAGCAGATGGCAGGCACGTGGTTTTGTTCTCAGCGGTGTTATTCGGTGGTTGAATCTGTGCATACTGATAAGACTCCATGGCATCAGCGAGGAAGGCCCAGCCCCTGGACCAGGGGAGGGCAGTCGAACTGAACACTAAGCCTGTCGTGGGGAACCTCACCGATCACCAAGAAGAGCAGCTGCCTTGCCAGGGGCATCATGATGGCCAGGAGCCCCTGGAAACCACGCGTGTGACGGGAAGGGCCACCTCTGAGCGGCCCACGCCGTTCCGGGCCCCTCGACACCAACTCCTGGGAGTTGTGTCCGGGAGGAGATGACGGTCCAGGTGATGCGGAGCTGGGACAGTCCTGATGAAGGCGGCCTCCCTGCCCCCCTTCAGACGAATCAGTTGTTAAAAGGGGGATGTACTTTTCAAAGTCATGTGCAACACAGTATTTAAAAAGCTTTGAAAATTTTTTTTATCAGATATTCATTTTTAATTATTATTTATTTATTAATTAAGTTATTTATTTTTGCTGTGCTGGGTCTTCGTTGCTGCATGCGGGCTTTCTCCAGTTGCAGCAAGCAGGGGCCACTCTTCATCGTGGTGCGCGGGCCTCTCACTATCACGGCCTCTCTTGTTGTGTGGAGCATAGGCTCCAGACGCGCAGGCTCAGTAGTTGTGGCTCACGGGCCCAGCTGCTCCGCGGCATGTGGTATCTTCCCGGACCAGGACTCGAACCCGTGTCCCCTGCATCGGCAGGTGGACTCTCAACCACTGCGCCACCAGGGAAGCCCCCCTGCCAGTTATTTTTTTACTGAGTAGTTCTAAAGATTTCAGTAAGTTTTTAAAACAGCTCCTTTCAGGAGAATTTTAAAAATACCCGTCTCTTTCCTTTCTGCTTTTGGTCCCTGCGGCTCCCTTGGGAACAGAATACTGAAAACAGTTTCCAGAACGATTTTTCTTTTTCCCTTGCAAGAACGTCTGCTTGTTATTGTTGGGTATTGGGGCTGGTTTGAACTTTTTGTAAGAGCCCTGCCGGGTGTGTGTTAGAAAAGCGAAGCCTGTGGATAGAATTCCTGGAATCTGGGAACAGCGTCACAGTGACCCCGCAAAGCCACCCCCGCGGAGGTTGCGTGTGGAGGAGCAGCGCCTGGGGTGCGTGTGGCGTTCAGGGAGGAGGCCCGTGTGCTGAGCGGTTCTCACGTCTGTTAAACGGTCTCTTCCAGGGTCTCGGGACCAACGGTGACCTTCAGGGTGCGCGCCAACCTCCAGAACGTGACAGCGGCGGACGCTGCGAAGGCGGCAGGTGAGGCTGCTTCCGCGCAAGCGCACGCACCCGCCCGGGCAGGGGAAGGGGGCCAGCTGCTCCGAGGACAGCCGTCTCCCCAGAGCCCCGATACTCATCGGGTGGGGCCCGGAGGGGAGTGGCTGGCCTCCCGGGGGTGGGGGGTGGTGACCGCACTGCTCGCTCGGATAGAAGGCGGTGTAGGGGCGGGGCTCCGGCCTCTGCGAAGAGCCCGTGTGGACAAAACAATGCCCTGGTGCTTTGAGGTTTTCCGTCCCGTCCCAGCCCAGCAGCTCGCACGGGCGTCACCGTGCCCGCCCGGCCCACGAGAGCACGGGACGAAGGTCTGAGTAGGCCAGTGCCTGACCTCGGCGTCCCTCTTGGAGCCCAGCCTGTCACGCGCTCACGCATTTCGAGATCTTCTGGGGGGGTCCCAGCGTGTGGTTGGTGTTTGTCACTGAATGAAAAACGCAAAGCGCAGAACGTGGGGTGTGTACGAAGGCTGCTTTCCCCTGCAGCCCACGTTTGTTTTCAGCTACTGAAAACTTGTGTAAAATGTACAGTCTTTCCGCCCAGTAAGAAAAATATAGGAAACCTGACAGAACCTGAGCCTCACGTTTCCCGGTAACTCAGTGGGAAGGACTCTCGTGCTTTATGGTCGTTTGTAAGCGCAGTGGCTGAATGCACTGACCCAGACGCAGCAGAAAATGACTCTTTGTTTCAGCCAATCCTGTATGTGGCTAAATACATGAACTATTTTTAATGAAACCTACATTTTCACCCCAGTGTACAGCGCAGCACGGTATTTGGGCTGACTTAGAGATCTGGGCATTTAGTTCTCGTCCATTGAGGTGTCACCTTATGGCCTCTATTAAAGTTTCTTTATCCAGTGACGGTCAACAGGGCATAAAAATAGCTGTAACACCCTATTTGGTGGAACAAACTGTAGCTCTTCTCTATTTTGGTTGCTGTTGGCTTTTCCTTGTAGGATATTTTGATGCCCTTAGGAACTCTGATTTGCTGAAAGGAATGATTTGGGGAACAGAATTTTTGGTTAAAGAAGAATTCCTTGCGGAGTTGTGCTACTTCCCAGAAAGCCTGTGGAGAGCTGACGCGCACGCCCCCAGCCCACATGCCTCCCAGGCTTCATTTCACTGTAACGGGGTGAGCTCGGGGTCCAGCTGAGCAGAGCGGCCTAGTGGGTCCCGGAGAAAGGAAGTCAGCAGATTCCATTCCAAACACTCCGCTGGATGAAAAGGAGCGGAATTCCGCGTCAGTGGCTTCACCCTGCGTGACCACGGGCGCTCTTTCCCTGCTCAGCACCCATTTTATGGTCCTCGTTCCTCAGCATAAGAGATTATTGAATATATTTAAGACCAAATCAGTTATCACTTTTTACCCAGAAATGCATTAACAATTGTTCCATAATTGGCAATTCATTCCAGTGCTGGGAAGTAATACTTTCAAAATTGGATTTGCTGGAACTTAAGGGTGCTCCGAATGGAATAAAATGGAATGAAGCCTTTTTATCTTTTAGAGTCGTGACAATATATTCATGACAATGGCATTTCATTTATTTTATTGCTTTCTGTGGGAAATGAGGTTGATTATTCGAAGTCTGGTTCCTTGGTCATTTTAAATGTGTTCACGTCAGGTACCGAGGGGGAAATTGTACATGCAGTTTGAGTGTCGTATCACCAACCCTCTAAATACTCAAATTTCTGAATTACATTTTCGTGAACCAGCATAGCTGTGCCAGCCAGGGTGTTTCTTGCTTGTGCAAAATGGATGACACACGTGCATAATTTTAAAACTTCGTTTCTTTGGTATTTTAAATAATTTCATGATGTTATGGATGCACCTGATGCTATACAGGGAAAGGATTACGGAGAAGAGTCTGTGACCATAGGATCTGAGCGTTTGGCGGCAGAATACCAAACTGTAGTGGCACCTCGACCCCGGCCACCTTGAGGGCGTGTTTGCTGCCACCGGGAGAAGCAGCCTCCTCCAATGCGGGGTCCACCTAGGGGTGGACGTGACCCCGTGTTATCAGGAAGAGTTTGAACTTAGAAGGACGTTTTGTGGCTCCAGTTTTAGAACATGATGTGGAATCTTACTAGTGTTGTTGTGGCAATGTGGGCGGGGCCGGCAGGATGGGCCGCGTACAGACCGCCCAGCCTTCCGCCCGCGTGTCGGTGCCCCTGCAGATCCCAGGACCGTTTGCCTTTGGTTCTCGCCGTGGGGCTTCCTGGCACTGCGCTGTACGCCCCTCTTGTTACCAACAAAGGGAGACGTGACCCTGTGATGGAGTTCAAAGGGCATTTCCTTTGCCTATTCTGCACAGGGTGGTACAGAACTTAATGAAGAGTCATGTAGCCGATGACACGTCTGTCCCCGTCAGACATGGTCCGTGTTTGTCCTGAAAGGTGGATGCAGTGGGTTTCCTTATACGGGTGGTTCTTTCCTGGGCATTAATTAGTGAACTTGGGCGTGGACGTCAGGTGTGAGTGAACAGTGGTTCCCTGGAGACACTTCCTGCGTTCAGAGCACACAGAGAAAACTGGTGGTTATGTTCAGTCTTCGTGGCCACGTCATCTAGTCAAATTGAGCAGGACAGAAAAATCCTTTTCTCACTCTTCATTTTCTCGGTAGCTTATCCTTAAGTAGCGTATTTGTAACCCGTGTGTGCGTCTCCCTTCAGGGAGGATGTGCTTGATCACCTTTAGAGGAAGCACACACTCTGCTCCCTGCGCCCCGCGGAGACGCCTGCCCCGTGGTCCTTGGGGCCGTGGCCTCTTGCGTGCGCTGCGCATCCCTCCTGCCCTGAGATCGGCCATGTCTTCTACCCTCCCGGGGGCCTTTTCAGCCTCAGCTCCTCTTTGCTGGGGTGTTTGACTCATGACTGTCCGGCAGGTGATGGGCCGGGCTCAGAGGCTTGTCTCCCTTGTATCTTAGCAGCTACCAGCTGCGTCCTGTCTAATCCAAGCTCTGGCCTCAGCACTCGGCTTCCATTCTCCCTCTGGGCTCATTTCAAGTAACACACGTGATTTTAAATCCTAGCATCTCCCGTTTGGAGAACGATGCCTTTAAACACTGTTGGGTGTGGGCCCAGGGCTGGGAACCAGGACAGCTGGACGCCAAGAGCCACCCCGGACCGTGAGCTCTGCCCAGCCTCCAGGTGAAGGGGGCAGGCATGTCCTTCTGCAAAGTGTGATGCCGTCGCTCCTGGGAGATCGGAGTGACCCCTGCTGTGATGCCCACGCAATGCAGCTGTCTGGACGGCCGACCAGGCTTCTCCCTGACGGGAGCACCACGTGAGGCCCAGGCCACAGGGACATCTGCAGAGCCCGGCCTTCGGAGGAGGGGATGCCTCACCTGGGTGCTTGTCGGGGGGCTCTGAGGACCAGCGTGGGTGCCAGGTGGGCTGGAGGAGAGAAGGGGGCCGTGCAAGGGGCAGCCACGGGTCCGGGCGGGGCCGGCAGCTTGACTGTCACCCGACTCAACTCATGGCAGAGCCTTTGGGTCCATGAGAAGGGCTCAGCGAGTTCATGGCGGCTTGTGGGGTCAGCGCTGCCTTCCTGACACCCAAGGGGCTTGGCCAGTGGCCCAGGTGCCCGCACCTGCACAAGAATCCCGGAACAAGGAGGCTGCTGGCCCAGGGGAGGAGGGGCTCCTTGCGGCAGCGCCAGCTGCACACACAGGTTCCCCTGACGGCCCGGCCTGCTTGCCGTGGTCACACCCTCCGTTCTTGCCTGGGATGCAGTGCCTGCACCTGTGAGTGTGGGCAGGCAGCTGTGCGTGTAGGTGCCCGGAACCGGTTTTGCACGCAGTGTGCTTTCATTGTGATTGAGAGCCCGGAATAAATGTTGGAGGGGCTGGTGAGCCCTGGAGCTAGAAAGAAGGCTGTGCTTTTTCAACGAGACTGAGGAGGATGCTTTGGAAGTGCTCGTGCAGCCCAGCTGCTGAGAAACCGTGCTCTCTGCAGGTGAGCGGGACGCCTGTTAAAAGCTGGTAAAAGCCAAAGCCTACAGGGACTCTCATCTTCTCCAAGACGTGACGTGAGAGAATGGGAGGATTTTTAGGTAAAAGCGACGTCGGGGTTCCTCCTGATCCGTGCCTTGTGGCACAGATGAGAAACGCAGGCCAGAGTGGCGGTGGGCTCGTGGTGGGACGCGGGGAGCCTGCGGGGTCTGCTGACCGGCCCGTGGCAGCGGCGGGGAGCGGCCTGGTCTCAGCTCGCCAGGCAGTTCTGGTGCGGTCGCCTCACAGCCTCGGGCAGGTTCCAGGTCGAGGGCCCGTGAAGCCTGGCTGAACCTCGGGGGTCACCAGCGACGGGCAGGGGGCCCTGCAGGGTCAGCTCACCTGCTGCTCCCATTTCAGCAGGCGGGTTGGCAGACACGGCGCCCGAGGACTGAGGCGGGAAGATGGGCAGCAGAGGAAACCGGCCGGGGGTCTGGGGACTCGGCAAGGGTCTCGGACTCCAACAGGGTGATTCCGGAAAAGAATCTGAATAATTTTCCAGCTCTGTCTGTCGTATATCCTGTGTTGTTACCTGGAAGGGACGAGCTTGCTTTATTTCGCTGAATGGATAGACTGTGTGTTTCCAAAGTGAAGTGGGCGACAGAGGCCTGTCCTCCTGCTGGCCGTCGGATGCACCCTCCATGTCTGCCGTCCAGGAACGAGGCTCATCTGGGCCAGGGGTCACCATGGCCGAGTGAACGTTCCCCCTCCGCAGAGGGAATGTGGCCTGGAGCCCCTGCTTTAGCGGGTGCTTGTGCTTTTCCTGAGGATGAGAAAGGAGTCTAAAGACAGAGCCGCGGTCCTCACGCCTGTTCGGGAGGAAGCAGGGGTGGTGACGGCTTCATCCTGGATGGATTCGCGACCAGCTGCAGAACACGCGGCGGGTGGAAAGGTGCCGCTCTTGCTACTGGAAACAATGAATCTATTAACAGTGAAAACATGCTGTCACTCGGGGGATAGTTCAGTTTTTGGAGAACGCAGCTCAAGAAGTTCCTGTGATAACTGTCGGGGCTGCTCCCTCTTCATACTTATGTGAAGACAGAATCTGCTTCTGTTCGGATAGACTTGGAGACCCGTCTGCAGACGAATCTCCTGTCTCATCCTCGGTCCCAGAAAGGCATTTTCTGGCTTCTTTTGGGCACCCCCTCCCACTGCTACAGCCCGCAGCAGAGTGGACGGGAGGCTGAGACCAGGCGTTTTCCACGCACAGGCCTCCCTTTCCTCCTGGGATCTGCTGGCTGCCCCAGAGTTGGATACAGCCCAGAGCCGAGGGCCGTTCGTGGGCAGCTGTCAGTGTCAGAACCAAATGCCGACATGATGCGATCCTGCAAAGGCAGAGGAGTCGGGACGGGAGTGGAGCCCAGAGCTTGGGGGTCCTGGGGGGCCAGACCCACGCAGGTTCTGGAAGCTGTGAGCATTGCCCGGGGCTGGGTGTGCGAGGGTGGAAATGTGGACCCAGGCTGGCCTGCTTACTCCCTGGCCAAACACGAGTGCAGAACCGGGGAGTGGGAAGGGGCCGGCTTAGCTTCGAGGTGTCCACGCCGAGGACTTCTACGTTCTGTTGTCTCTGGGGTCGAGGCGTCTCATGGAGCTGCTTTTAGTCGAGGCCAGTTTCCCACTTACCAGTCATTGGTTGGTACCAACGCAGGGCGGCCAAGTGCCAGGCCCTGTGCCGGCAGTGGGGATGCTGGGGTGACGGAACAGAGACTGGGCTCTGGTGAAGGTGCGGCCCAGCGAGGGAGATGGAGGAGGAGGACGTAAACATGCAGCGCGATGTAATATGGCGCGGCACGGCGTAATGACGCGCTCTATAGCGTCGTCCAGTAAGATGCCAGGTAAGGCAGTGTCGCATCGCGTGTACTGTCACATGATATAATTTTGTCATTACGTAGTTATTTGATATCACCTGACGTTGTATAGTACACGATATAGCATGACGTGGTGCATGGTGTGTTATAGCGTAGCGTTGTATGTAGCAGTACGATGTAACATACTGTAAGACAGTACACCGTACGATAGTGTACCGTACATCACATCACCTCAGGGAACGTGGAGTGGTCTGAAGAGAAACCAGGCAGGGCATGGGCACTGGACGGGTCGGGACGGGAGCTGGTTTAAATGGTGGCCAGACAAGGCCCCGAGCGGCCGTAGAGACAGAAGCTGAGGCCGCCGGCAGCCAGGCCTCTGCGTACGAGCAGTGGGATGTCTGCATCTCTGGGTCGGGGCCCTGGATCTGGGAGTTGGTGACACGATGCCCAGCACATCCTTGGAGTCTGCTTGTGGTTGTCAAGGTGGGTTTTGTAGTCTCACACTTATAAGCCCTGTTTCCTTCCTTCCTTCTCCTTCCCTCTTCCCGCTCTGTGCTGGTGCCAGGAGTCACAGAGAACCATACAGAACAGGTCTTGTCCTCTCCAAGCCTGGAGTCTGCTGGAAAGAGAGACATTGTGGCCCAGACAGCCTGGGGAGGCAGGGAGGGCTTCCTGGAGGAGGCATCTTGCGGGAGCACTGGGGTTCACGAGGGGGCGCGATGGGCTCAGACCTGCAGTTTTAATTGTGATACATGACACTTCTGAAAGCTCCTGGCTTCACCTCGAGGGATGTATGGGGAGATGAGGTGCGCTAGAGGTGTTTGTGTGGTCCAGAGGGACACGCGTCACGGATGGGGACACGGCGACGTCGTGGGTGAGGTCACAGGGGCCCTGGGGACACGTCTGCTGGACCTGGTGTATGATGACGGTGCTGGGTGTGCGAGAAGCTTCCAAGCTGAGGGCACCAGATTTTCTGGCTGGGTCACCTGGGCAGAGGGGCGTTTGCCGGGCGGTGGCGGGGCGGGCAGGAAGCACTCAGGACAGGACGACGTGTTATGGGGACGCGGTAAGTGCGGTTTGGCCCATGTGCGTCTGGGGCCCCGAGTCTCCAAGAGGGACCCGTGCAGGTGCAGCTGGAGAGAAGTGGCCCCAGCGGCCCCGAGCTGACCCGAGCCGGGCAGGTGCCACCTGAGCAGCTGCTGTCTGTGGAGGGCAGACTTCTCTGTCACACGGGCCCCGCCCAGCCCTGTGACCTGTGGCCCAGCGCTCTGGGGCTAAGTCCCAGTTGGCTCGTGTGAGAATGACGCAGGAACCCTGATCCACAGGACCGTCGAGGGCTGGGTGAGGGCGTGCTGAGGAGCGGGCCTGGCACGCGGGCCCCCGCTGGGCAGGGTCCTGTGAGCTGCCCCTGGGATGTGGTTGCCAGACTCCTTCCCTACACGTGGGCCTCCCCCTCCACTGCTGCAGCCCTCGGCCCTGGGGGCTCAGTGCTGATCTCAGTGGTCAGGGCGTAGCCGGCCGCCCTTGGAGGAGGTGACCCGCCACGTGCAGGGCTCAGGTGGACGCTGTGTCCAGTTCCGGGGCTCCGGGCCCCCGGCGACACGCAGAGGACACATGCTGCTGTCCCTTTGCCCTTCTGCTTAGTGAGTGTCCAAAACCCCAGTCCTTCCAAGTCACGCAACTGTTCCCACAGTTGATCGTTGTGACGCTTTGTCGGCACGTGAACGCTGTTCCTCCTCTTCTCAGCACAAACCTGAGTGTCTTTGTGCCTAAGTGGGAGGTGGCTGGTTTTAAAAATAGGGCTGTGGCCGCAGCGCAAGACAGGCACCCGCGGGAGGAGACGCGGTGACAGCACGGACGGGCCACCAGCAGCGTGCGGGGAGGGACAGTGTGGCCCGTGGCCGGGGCCTCCTTCAGCAGTTTCCGGCGGGCCCCCTGCCCCCGGCCGCACAGCTGGGCGAGCGCAGTGTGTCCCAGCCGCCTCCCGGGGCTCTCTGGCTGCACCAGTCCCCATGGCAACGGCGGAGGGCGCGCAACAGCGGAGCAGCCATGAACGTGTTTCCCTGTTTCTGCAGGCTGGCTGCTCCAGGTGGGGTCTGAGTGGAGGCTCCCAGCCCAGGCCCTCCCTGGCCCCCACGATGCTGGGTCGGTAATCCTGGAGCCCTGCGCAGACCTGGGGGCCTCCTTCCTCCTGGGTGGCCGTCGGACCAGCTCTACGACCAAGCTCAGGTCTTTGACACTTGAGGTGTCCTGATGCTATAATTTCAGAGGCCCTGTGACGCCTAACTGTTTAACAAATTCTTCCCACGAGCCCTTCGGTGTCTGAGCGCCTCACCATTTCTCCTAGACGCACCTGCAGCGTGGAGTCCCTCCGCACACCTGGCAGCCGCGGGCGGTCACCTGCCTGGCCCAGGGCAGGTCCCGCAGATGCTGGGATCAGGAGAGGCACCTCTCGCCGCAGGACAGAGGGTCAGGAGCTGAGAGCCCCCTGCAGGGGGGGCAGGGGCTGGGCCTGGCCTCGTCTGTTGGCACTTGGGCGGGAAGCCCTTGGAAGCGGGTGGGGACGTTTGTCGCAGGCAGGTCTCGCTGTTAGCAGGCTGCTGAGGTCAGTGCTGCCTTCCTGGGCTTATTTCCCACCCACTTGCCCATTTTCCTCCTGCACAGTGACACTGAGGCTCCGATGGCCCATTCTTGAAAGTGAGCCCCTAATTACAGGGCGTGCTGGTACCCCGGGTCCATCTAGTTACAGGGCACACCGGTACCCCGGGTCCATCTAGTCACAGGGCACACCGGTGTCTGAAGTGCGTGTAGTTTACAGGGCATGCCGGTACCTGAGGTCCATCTAATTTACAAGTGACATTGGTACCCCAAGTCCATCTAATTCACAGGGGATGTTGGTACCCCAAGTCCATCTAATTCACAGGGGATGTTGGTATCCCAAGTCCATCTAATTCACAGGGGATGTTGGTACCCCAAGTCTATCTAAGTCACAGGGGATGTTGGTACCCCAAGTCTATCTAAGTCACAGGGGATGTTGGTACCCCAAGCCCATCTAATTCACAGGGGATGTTGGTATCCCAAGTCCATCTAATTCACAGGGGATGTTGGTACCCCAAGTCGGGGGGGGCGGGAAGGGGGGCTCCTCTCAGCCGCGGGAGGGGGGTGTCCAGCCCTGGTCTCCCTCCACCCTCCACCCCGCCCCGCCCCGCCCAAGCGCCCCTCAGAGCTCACGTGGCTGCTTCTGTGCTCGTGGGCAGCCAGGAGTGGGTCCTGCCCATCTCTGCGGTTTCTCCCTCCCTTGCTGGAGAAGGGAGACCTCCAGAATGTCGGGGGGCGGTTCTGTGTATACGGTGGCAGTGCAGACTGTAGTTACTCGGCGCCACTCTCGGGCCATGTCTCGATGACGTGTTCAGGTGTGGCCGCATCTCTGTGCGGAACCCTTCCTGGACAGCCCTCCCGGGACACCATCCATCCTTTCGTTTGTTTGTCTTAAAAGACGGTCTTTGGTGTGATGGGTTTACTATCACTTAAGATTGGTGGGGGAGGGGGGGATGCCTTAAGGAGTGAAAATAATCATTTTTTGTGTATTAAAATATGGTAAGAAAAAGAAACCAAAAATATCCCAAATCTAAAATTCTTGACTGCGTAGTTGGTAGTTCTGGGAACTGTCAGTGAGAAGAACGGTGAACAGTGGTCTTCAAGCCCCAGGGGGTGGCCCAGTTCTGACTTGTCTGTTTCCTGCCGGCCCTTCTGCACTTGGCGCCCCAGCTGTGAAATGGGACGAGTGTTGAGGACCCACAATGACCGAGACACAGGAGGTACTCACAAAAGGAAAGAGATGCAGACGTAACACGGTGTAATTTTTCCCCTGAGGCAGTCAGACATATCTCCGTTCAGCTTGGTGGGTTGTTTTGAAATTCAGCTGAGGAAAGTACAAAAGTAGGCTGTGAGATTCAGAACCCCCGGGGTGTCTGTGTTGTTAATGAAGGTGTAAGCAGTGTTAGCCGGGTGGGTCCCCACGCCCACGAAGTAAAGAACCTCGCGATCCCGTGTCACAGCTCGAACCAGATCTTTACCTGTAAACGTCTCACCCCGACCCAGCTCTCTCCACGTCGCTCTCCTCGTACTGGTTACAGGAGCCCAGGGACGGTGCTTAGCCCACCCCCGCCCGCTTCCTCTGCCTTCACCTGGGGTGTGGTGCCTCCCTCCCCGCCCCCAGCTGACCGGCTCCTCTCCTGTCCAGGAGACTCTGCCCACGCTGACGCTGACGTTTCCACGCCAGCCCTGCCCCTGCAGGACCCCTCCCAGGTCTCCTCGCATCCCCTCCAAACTTCCCCCTCAGGAGAGCGCTCCGTAACCTAAACCTGACCGTGTCATTCTGTCCCCAACGGCGACGGCCTTGCCCAGGCCTGGGCCCTGCAGCTCCGTTTCTCTCCCCAGCCTGCTTCCTTTCCGCTCTGGAATGTGAGGGGTCCTGACAGGAGGCCTTGGGTTTGCTCCTGGCCCAGCACGCTCAGATGCCACCTCCTCCAGGCAGCTCTCCTTGGTCAGGGTCCCTCCTCCAGGGCGCCGCCCTCCCCTCAGAACCTTACCTGGGGGTGGAATGATAACACCCTGTGGGGTTCTTCCGCTTCGAGCAGGGGCCGCATCAGCATTTGCTCAGCTGTGTCCCAGCCCCTGAGGCGCCTGGCTCCTCCGAAGGTGCTGGTGGTCTGCGGTGCTTTCCTTCCCTCTCGCACCCTTTGCAGCCCCCCACCCGCTTTCCCTGCACGTGTCCCTCCCTTCCTGATGCAGCCCCAGTGCTGCTGTAAGATCACGCAAGCTCCCCGGCTGGATGCCCTCACCCATCCACCCGGCTGCTGTCACCTCAGGACCCCGCCCTCCAGCCACTCCCGGGCTCTCACGTTCATGGTTCTGAATCTCTACGGGAAAACACTCACTCCTCAGGTGGGCTGGGATGGGCTTCTCTTTGGAGCCCCCTCTGGATCTGTTTACTTAGCTGCAGACCATGCCTTCACACAGACATCATGCTTCTTGTGGCGGCTGCTCTGTCCGTCTTGGACCCCCAGTGCCAGACAGGCACTGGGGGTGCTGGGGGAGTAAGTGACAGGGTGAGGAGGGACTTCCGGAAGCTGAGGCCTCCGCTCGAGGATCAGCCCGCTGGGGGTGGGCTGTGCGTAAATTCTAGGAAAATGGTTGTAACTGATGTGAGAGTCCTTCCCGAGGCAGTCTGAGGCTCCAATGGTAACAGAAATCCAAGTCACAGAATTGAGTCTTTAAAAGCACCAGTGGCAAGGCTTTTGCCTGTAAACAGAGGTTCTACTTAGAAAGCCCTCCCAGGGTCAGTTCATAGCCCTACATCTGCGTCCTCAGTGATGATTTCAGGGAGCCTGGGGGTCACGAGGATAACCTGCCGGTGGCTGCGCTCCAGGGGCCTGGGCGGTGTCCGCATGGCCTCGGCTCGAGGGCCTGGGCGTCCTGGGTGACGAGACGCAGCCACGGGGTCCCCTGTCCGACAGGCTTCCCTGGCTGTCAGTTTCATATTTTTCATGTGGCAGCAGATTTGTGTTTGCTCTTCCCTATGCAGAATTTTAAACACACACAAGAGCAAGATACTGACCCACGCCCGGCGACCCAGACAGCCCAGGCCGGTCACACCCCACCTACTTCCAGCTCTCCTCCTCCTTTGAAACAAATCTCAGTTATACTGTCTTAGAAGCATTTCATGAAATATCTTTAAAATAGAGGGATTCTTTCTTTTTAACATACCGTAATGCCATATCACACCTACAAAGGACCCCAAATCCCTTAATATCATCAAATATGTAGTCTGTGTTCAAATTTCCAGTTGTCACATCAGCGTCAGAACTTTGTTTTCGTTTATTAGCTTGTTGGCTCACGTTTGCTGAGGTTATAGAGCCGTGCTGGAGTTTGACGTCTGCTAGTGGCTGGAATTCTAGAACTGGAGGATATTTCACACTTGCCTGGCCTCTACCCGTGGCGGTGGACAAAGTGAGAAAATGCCATAAAGGTGCAAATGTGATGGGTGTTGGAAACAGTTTCAGTGCCTCTCTGGCCCAACGCCTTCCAGGTCAGCTTGGCCATGTCTGGCTGCCCAGAGGTGCCAGAAGGGACGATGGTGCCAGGGGACCCTTATGGTCTCTGACTGTGAGCCCCCTTCCCACATGGGATCCTTCTGCTGCAGCAAAGGGCAAGATGTGTTGTTGGTGGGCGGGGCCGGGAGGGGAGGGAAGCCCGGCCGGCGCCGAGCAGGCCTGGAGCCTGGCCCTCCAGCCTCTGTCTGCCACATGGCTGTCCTTAGAGCCCGACTCCTACCGGCTGGTTCTACAGCCCAGCCTGGGAGTGCGGAACGTAGGAGCGTCTGGTGACGTGGGGACCCTGCTCTCGTTTAGCCATGAAGACCTGTACCTGTGTGTATGTGTCTGCAGCTGCACCTGTGCGGATACCTACATCTGTACACCTACATCTGTGTCGTCTGCTTAGGTGTGTGTCAGCTGTATCTGTGTACCTACATCTACCCCTACACCTACATTTATCTGTATCTACGTCCGTATCTATGTCTGCATGTCTACACCTACAGATACACCTACACTCATACCTGTACCTACGTCTGTACCTCTGTACATCTCACACCTGCGTCATCTATTTATGTCTGTATCTGTCTGTCTACATCTACAGCTACACCTAACCTATACCTACACCTATGTATCTATACCTACATCTGTATCATCTACATCTGCGTCCATATCTGTCTGTACGCAGCCCACCAGCTGCTTTGCTGTTGGATTTCCATAATCATTGGGGAAGCTTAGCTTTTTGTCTTCAATGATGCCCTGAAATTCCACAGTAATCCCCACAGACCCTCATACCCTAACACCTGCAATTGATTTTTTGCAAAGTGTCTCTTCTGTGTTATAAATGGGCCAAGACTTGAATCTGTCAGAAGTTAAGCAGTTTAAATTCCACTCCTACATATGAAGGACTAGGAAAGAGTGAGAAAAATATGAAAAGATGAGATTTGTCCTGTTGTCAAAATAGTAGTAAGTCTGCAAGTGAATAATGAAACCAGAGGGAAAAGGAAAAATGGAAAAATAAAACAAACAGTATCCAGAGGAAACTCAGTTGAGGCATATAGGCTTACGTAGGACGGCCCTGCAGGCGCCAGGGGTGGGTGGCGAGGTCAGGGTCCGCTCTGCTGGATCCTCTGCTGTCCGTGGAGGAGGGGTAAGGGGACCTGCGGTGGACGGAGGAGACTGGCCACTGGGCATGCTGGCCGTCAGCACCGTGCCCGCCTCGCTCTCTGTGCCGCGGGCGTCGTCTGTGCTGTGACCTGGGCTGGACTGAAATCTAGCTCGGCAGTTGCACCACGACTGCTGGGGTGAGGAGTCCGCCCTGGCGAGATCTGGGCTCAGCCTCCGGGCCTCGGGGGTGGGACGGGGGAGCCAGCAGAGGGCCACCCGCTGCTTCTCGCTGCGGGGCTGCGCTGACGGAGGCCGTGTGTCCCGAGGAGGCTCGGTGGAGGATCCCCACGAGTGGGTGCCACTGGAGGTTAGGGCCGCAGGAGGGGCAGGGGAGGAGAGTCACGAGAGGGGCTCCCGGGAGGAGATGGTCCTTCCCGCCCCCCACTCCTCCCGGACCCTGATCTGCGCTCCGCTGTATGGGACACACGGCGCGTCTGGGTTGCATGGAGTGTCTTGGAAGCAGGTGAGAATGACCATCTCAAGAGATGTAGAAAAAGCATTTGACAAAATTCAACTTCCTTTTATGATAAAAACTCTCAACAAAGCGGCCATAGCGGGAACATACCTCAACGTAAAAAGGCCACGTATGACAAACCCACAGGTAACATCATACTCAATGGTGAAAAGCTGAAAGCTTTTCCTCTTAGGTTGTGCTACTGTTGACTTTTGCTCTGTGGTTACCATGAGGCTTCCATAAAACATCTTCTATTTACAAGTCCCTTTAAGTGGATAGCAGCTTAACTTTGCATACAAAAGCTTTACATTTTTATGTTTTTGACGTCAATGCACTTTTTATAAAGGTGACACTCTAAGACGTTGTATACTTAGATTTGTATTAAGCGGTTGGCAATTTTTTTTTCCTGGAGAATAAAATTGTTTTGGAGAATATATTTATTTGAATGTATTATGGAGAACATACTTGTTAAAATTTTGAATATATTTATGTTGAGACGCACAGTCTCATCTTGATGTTAAAAAATGCTAAGTTGTTAGCATACAACAGTTTTTTACCTATTTATGATTTACCTGTGAAGAGTTGATGGTTGTTAGCAGTTTTTAATAAGAGTAATTCAGGGTTGTCAGAGACTCGAGGTGAATTTGCCTGTGCTCTGCGATGCCGGGCAGCTCAGCCCTCACAGGAGCTCAGTGTGTCTGCCCAGATTGTCATAGGCTCACTCACTCACGCTCTGAAAAACGGGGCCTTCATTCGACTCCTGCAGGGAAGACGGTGGTGCCAGACAGGAGTTGGGAACTTGAATCACTGTGGTGCCAGCAAGATTGTCTTCATCAGAAGCGTCACTTCTCTGCATCGGGTTGAATTCCTGTGGGTTAGCAAAAATTTTAACTACCTTATAGGATTATTTAAAAAGATAAACATCATTATTTGTTACAATGATGGGTACGGATAACTAGAATAATTGGTGAATCCCGTGAAAATCTCATATTATTGATTGATTTCAAGTATCATCTCAAAAAAGTTGTATCAAGGTTGACTCGTTTTCATTTTGTGATCCATCACTCATTTGGTTCCCAACCTTCGGTGAATTTTCAAATAAATAGTGAGATGTCCACAGTGAGGAAGTGAAGCAGCAGAAGCACGGTCGGCTCCTGGACGCAGAGTCCTAGACGTAAGCGTGGGGCTGGCGGGGGCATCTGGCCCCGTCGCCGCGTCCCGTTCTCTGCTTGGTTTCATGTGTCTCGTAAGTAAGAGACGATAGCACTTGGAAAAATAAGACCTGGAGAGGTTACGGGTGCAGATGCTCTTCAGTCTGGTTGGGCTAAAATCCACGCAGAGGTGCAACAGTCGGGAAGCTGACATCCCAGCGTTAACTTGACATTTTCCATTTCCATGTTCCTTTGGGGATTTACTAGCACGATCTTGGGCAAGGGGTTTAATTTCCCGAGTCTCAGTTTCCACCTCTCTCAAGTGAGGTTAATACGGGACCTTCCTCCCAGGTCTGTCGTGAGCAGTGAATGAGAGAATTTCCGTGGAGTCATGCACGGCCGAGGCCGGAGGGATGCCTTCCAGAAATCTGCACTGGTCCTAATCTTTCTGCCCCTTACGCCGTTTTCACTAGTCTTTATTTTCAGAGTGGCCTCCGAAACTCCCTCATCATCTCCTCATTTTGGCCCCTTCCTCTAGTCCAGCAGTGACTCAGGACACCGCGGCCATGTGGGGCTGTGCGTGCGGCCATCAGGCTCTCCTGAGAGCGGGGCGTGGCCGCCCCTCAGCGGGCTTCCATCGAGGTCAGGACGCAGACGCAGTCCATTTCGCCTGTTCTGCTGACTTAGTAGCTCCCAGCAGCAACCTTGTTTAACTCGGTTAAACACCAGGAACGTGTGGCTTCAGAAAGGAAGTGCCTTAGTGAGGAGGCCCGGCCCAGCTGTCGACGGGAAATCCTTCCTGCCACTGACAACCAGGCAGGCAGAGGACCCCACGGCTGCTGCCGGCTCTGACCTCGAGCTGCTAAAAGCGCCCCATCTCTCTCTTCCAGGCGGCGCTGGGCGTCCAGGTAATCAGGGTGGCAGCTGTCACAGGCGGGCCCCTGAAATTGCACATGCTGTATCCGTCCATTGATTTTTGAAATGAACTCCAGCTGCTTTCTGAGGAAGTTCAGACCATGACATGACAGCTGATGGCCACGTAGTTTAAAGATAAAACAGAAACAACTGCGTGCTCGTTTTGAGTACAGTCAGCACCCTCTCGTTTGTCCGACTTGCACAAGAACGGAGCCACTGTTGTCCTGAGCCATCTGCCTGCCGGAGCCGTGACAGCGAGACGGGAGGGTCTGATGGGGTCACCGCGCGGCTCCGGTCATCGAGGTGTCTCCTTGGAGAGCGAGCCGGCCACTGAGAACATTCTGGGCTGGCGAACCTCATCATTATCTTCAAGGCTGTTTTAGATAATCTCGTAATGGAGGAAAATGTTCAATTTCTGGGCTGTGAGGGTGGAAGAAGGTAGGGCCAGGAGGCTCACGGTGGGCCTGACATCCACGACGGAGGCGCCGGACTCCGCATCTCCTTACGTTACCCCTTGTTGAAGACAAGCTAGGAAACGGGGTTCGTGGAATCTCATAGCAACCTGGTAGGGAAGTTGGTTTGTGTCTGGCAGGGGCCTAGACTTTGGAGAGAAAGAAAAAGATAAGAGCTGGTCACGCCCTCAGCAAGCCTGCAGCTCGTGGACAGACAGGACTGAAACACGCAAAATCCTCAGAGACCTTTGAAAATAAGTGGCGTGCTGGGTGGCTTGGAGTCAACGTGCAGAGGGAGGTTCAGGGAAAGGAGGGAGCTCGTGGCCTTCGGGGTGAGAGCTGGTGGGGCCTGCTTGGTGGCCAGGAGCTGGGGAGGGGGGGACAGGGCCCTGTCTTCCTGACGCCGGACTGTGGGACTCGTCCCCCTCTGATGTGATGTGGCGGGATTTCTCCTGAGCACTGAGCTGGCGCTGTGGTCAGCACCGGATGGCTCCCTTGAGACCCGTGCCCTGTCACCAGGGCACAGGTGCCTGCGGGGCTGCCGTGCAGCCAGGCCTGTCTCCGCGCGGAGCTCAGGGTCCCAGCAGACTTCATGTAGATGCAGACGCGCTCGAGCACCAGGCTGGCTGAGGAACAGACGGACCTGACCTGCAGCTCCTGGCAGGCAGCGACGAGGCAGACACCAGGGTTCCGAGTGGACTCCTTTCCCAGTTGGCAGCTGACCTCCCGGTGGGGCTGACATGCCAGCTATGCCAGCTCTGAGAGGTGTCCCTGGGATCCCGTGAGTGAGGGGACGGGGTAGAAGGGCCCGTGTCTGCACCACAAGCACACACACCTCTTTAAAAACATTCTTATTTTAAAACCTCATAACGTGAAAGCCTCTGGAGAGCGTGTTTGGGAGGTTTGGGGGACTCGTCCACCCTTGATGGGAGGGTCCCCAGCCCTGAGGGCTACTTACTCAGGAAGCAGGATGGGGGGGGGCAGCCCCTCAGCTGCAGACCGGGACCGACCTCTCCTTCCTCACCTTAGGAAGAATGGCTTGGAGGTTGGAGAGGGTTTGGAGTCACCAGCAGGGGTGTGGCGAGCGGGCCTGGCACAGTCAGTAAAAGTGGCGCCACCGGCAGCAACCGCTGTCCCCACCCAGAGATCACATTCCAGCTCCTTCGCTGGGCTGGCGGCCCGTCTCCCCCCAGGGAAAAGGTGGGTGTAGCGCGAGGCGCCACCGTGGGCGGAGTGCCTCCCAGCCCAGACCTGCCGCCAGCTCGCGGTGGGACTCGCTGATCACAGCCTCCGGAGCGCTTCCTCCACTGGGTGACAGCATCTTCCGAGGGACGCGGCGGTCAGCCTGGGAATCTCGGAGCAGTCGCCCCCAGTCCCGTCGCTGCGCCTGCTTCTCTGCATCTCCTCGGGGCGCAGAGGCGTCTGGAGCCCTCCCCTGACGCCAGCCGACGTCACAGCCCTTGTCGACGCGTCTACGCGGGGATTCTGCCTCTGCCCTTCCCGAGGCGTCCCGCTTGCCCGTGGTCTCGCTCACCTGCTGGTCCCTCCTGCCCGCACACCTGAACCATCTCAGCAGGCTGCAGGGCCTGCCCGGCACCCATCTCCACGGCCCCCGCCTCTGGGACCCCCCTTGGTTCCTTCTCGTGCCCTGCGCCCCCGCTGGCTCTTGGAGTCACGCGGTCCTAGGACAGCCCATCGGGCACCCCCTGCATGTTCACCGCCCTCCACTCACAGGGTGCCGCCCTCTGTGGGGGGCGGGAGGGGCAAGCGGGCTTGGCACCTGGGTCCCCGCGGTCGTCCCCCGGGCGTGTCTGTGTCCCCACCTCCTCTTGCCATGGGGACCCCAGCGGTGGTGGATGAGGAGCCACCTGCTGACCTCACGGACCCTGTTGCCGCGTGAGGCCACATTCTGAGGTTCCGGGTTTACGACGTGAAGGTGTGCGTTTTCGGTAACACAGTTCAGCCCCCAACGACACAGGCCCTTTCCCTTGTTGGTGACTTTGCTGCTTGTGTCCCCACTTGGATATAAACCCCAAGAAGCAGCTCAGTGTCTGTTGCTGAATTTCCCGGCCAGCACCCGGCACCCAGTGGCTTTCTTGCACATTTGCTGAATGAATGAATGAATGATAGGCTGGGACGAAAACCCCAGCTGTCGACGGTGCTCACGTAACCGCAGGCGAGTTCTCCTCTGAAGGGCTCTGACGGGCTTTCACGGGCAGCACCTGGGGTGCGAGACAGGCTGGGCTCAGGGACCTGAGTCACATGCGCTGCTGGAGGTGCCCCCCTGGGGACGCTGGACTTGCTGGGGGTCCGAGGCTCCATGCTGTGGCACATGAGCCCCTTTGGGGAGTCGCTGCTGCTGCTGCGCTGTCCTGCCATCCTTAAAAGTGTGACTTTTCAGTATCCTCACTGGCGCATAACTCATTTTAGAAATGAATCCGAATCCACTTAAAGACATGCATTCCCTCCGCACGTTTGACGCCCCTCCTGAACTTGGCTTCCCGGCCTCCGCCCCCCCTCCCACCTCCACCCCGCTCTCCCCTGCTCCCCGGCTGAGATGAGCCAGTTGCTGGCTCCTGGGCCCATCACGCTCCCCTAACAACCCCGTTCGCATTGTGGTGTTGGTCTTCTTGCTGGAAAATGCAGGTGGTTCATCACGGTTGGGGAGGCCTCTGCTCCCGGGTGGCTGCAGCCCGGCCCTGATGTGACGGGTACAGCCGGGGCAGTTCTCCGAGCAGGGCAGGGCGGGAGGGTGGGCTGCAGGGGTCCCTGCTCCTCAGGTGTGACAAGCCCGCCACGTAACTCTGTGCTCTCCCCGCAGCCCGCTGAGCCCAGAGAAGGGGACGGAGGTGCTGGAGGACGTGGCGCGTCTCCTGGACATGCCGGCGGGCATCTTCTCGGACATCGCGTGAGTGTGGGCGGGGCCCTGGGCGTCTTCTCCATCTGGTGGGTCCACTGTGCGCTTGTGGGCTTCGTTAATTGTGTCACAGAGAAACTGTGAGGGAAGAAGAGGAAGGAAAGGCCCAGCGGGGCTCAGGTTGTTTCTGTAAGAGCAGCTGAAACCCAAGCATCATCAGAAGGACCATAGTTCCCTGAAAGAACCCCGCCCCAGGCTTCAGGTCTCCCCGCTGCGCCAGGAACCACCCAGGAGGCTCTAGACCGTCGGGATGGCCTGGCCCCCGCAGGCGAGCCAGGGCCTCGGGGCTGGGCCCTCAGCTAATGAGGCTCTTCTGACAGCTATGCGCACGTGGTGGTCCACGGGGACGGTTATCGCTACACAGATGTTTACCAAGCGCTGAGTGCCCGGGTGGAGTGGAGAGCAGGTGGGGTTCCTGCTCTGGTGAGCTGAGCTCCCTGCAGAGGTGGACATGTAGACAGAGCCAGAGAAGGTCAGGCGCCTTCCGTCCCGTCCCCGTGAACAGAGGGATGAGGCCAAGAGGGAGGAACCTGGGGCAGGAGACCCCACCCACGGAGGGGGGACGTCCACATGGGAGGGTCATGCGGCCATGGGAGCCCGGCCCAGAGCCCAGGTGACCTTGGTCCCAGTGCTGGAGCCACCGCGGATGTTCTCCAGGAAGGTGCCTTTCCAGCCGCCCGGAGAACGAACTACAGGGGACCCAGGTGGAGCCCAAGTGCCGTGAGGCTGCTGAGGTCTCCGGTGATGGGCCGTGGCCTCGGAGCAGGAGGGGCGGCGGGAGGGGCGGGTGCGAGATGAGTCACCCGCTGGCAGAGGGTCCATGTCTGTTCCGTTAAGCCGCACGCAGGCCCCCGAAGCCACTTGTATTCCCACCTGTAACATCAAGGGTCCGTTACAGCTGTCCTCTGTCAAATCGCATTGATTGGCTGTGCGTCCGGCACCGCTCCGGTGTGCAGGACCTCCAGGAGGGTTTGGTCATCAGACTCAGGCCCTGGAGTGGGAGGGCCTCACGCAGTCCAGCAGGGAGCCGTTCCTGCTGCCCGTGGCCACTTCCACAGGCCCTTTGGCCCCGTCACGGTCTCCGCGTGGCCCAGTAAGCAGGACAGACGGCCTGACCTGGAGGTTCTGACTGTTCCCTTCAAAGAGGAGGAGGGGGTCTCTGGAGCTTCCTGCCCCGTTCCTGGCTCCCGTGGGCAACTCCCCTGGGCTGCACACACCACGGGGTCCCCACGGGCTTGGCCAGTGAGGACCCATCTCAGGTCCAGGGGTCCCTGCTGCATGTCTGCATAGGCACACCTGGCACGCTGACCACACGGCGTGGGTGTGTGTTACACACGCGTGACGGAACACACGCATGACGGAATGAGTGATGGCACAGGCGGGTCTGGCACCCCAGACGGCCCCCCAGTGACACTGCACCCCTCCCTCTGTAGAGGGGACATTGAATGTGGCCCAGGGCTGAGGGAGGGAGGGAGGGAGGGAGTGGGTGCCTCCTTCATCAAAGGCAAGAACCTCGTGCGAGAACTCTAAGGGCCTCAAGTACCAGGCAGAGGGGTCCTGAGACCGGAGCTTCCAGGAGCAGGTGGCGGCCTGCAGCGCTGGGAGACCGTCCTCGCGCCTCAGAAGTAATCACCCGAATGAGCTCTAGGGTGGGCCTCCTTAGGCCCCCGCGGGGCTGTGCTCATGGAACCTTCATCATATTCCGTTAGCAAAACCCTCCGTGGTGACCAGGCAGCAGACGGAAGGCAGAGGTCCCAGCCCCGGGCTGTTTCCTGGAGACGTGCCCTGTGCTGCCCCCCTGCCGCCCCTCGTTTCTTAGAAACCTTCCAGATGGGATAGAGGCCGGGGCTGCGCGCCCCCCCACTGCTGCCACGGGAGCGTTTGAGGGAGGGTTGGAGAGGAAAGGGAGTTGTGGGAAGTGGCGTCAGTCCTGGGGGGCTCCAGTGGGGGGCGCTCGGGCCTGGGGGCCTTTGGGAGACGCTGCCTAGCCTGCCCGGCACTCCTCTCTGGCCCCTCACCTGGGTCTGCGGCTCAGTCCCTCCAGGTCTGGAGACTCTGGGGACACAGGGGTGTTCTGGGGGCTTTCCAGGCTCGGAAGCTGGGCCGGTTCCCAGACCAGCTCTTTTGTAGACATCACCTGCCAGTCTCTTTCCTGCTCAGGGGACAGGGGCTTCCGACTCCCCCAGGGCCATGCTGCACCCCGCTCTTTCAGCCTTTGGGAGTCTGGTCCAGGGCCCTCGTGTGACTAAACCCCCGAGCGGCCCTTTCCCTGCAGCCTCGCCCGGCCCTGGAGCCCCCCCGTCTGCCCTCGAGTTTGCTTCTGGGTGCCCAGGCCTCTTGGGAACCCCCGTCCTGCCCAGTTAACGCTCGTCTCGCACCTCTGAGTATTTAATGCTGTACGTGGTCTGCGGGGGTGTGTGTGGTGTCCCATACCACACATGCACGTCCTGTGTGTCACCCCCAGGACCCAGCACATGAGGACACGCACCAGCCGCAGGGACTGACCTGGGGGGGGGCCTGGGGGGGCGACCGCGTGGCCAGCACGCTCTCAGGGCTGGTCATCGTGGCAGGAGAGGAGAGGAATCTGCCCCACAAGGCGTCACTTCCAGGATTGTCTGCATGTTTATGGAAGTACTAGTTATGCTTCATATGTTTTGTTAATGGTTATGTAGCTGTCAGGCAAATTTCATTATTTCTTATTACATCGTTAGAGGCCATTAAAACGGCATCAGCACACTGGGGTAATTATGCAGGCAGACGCACAACGACCGCGGTTGTGATTTTATAATCTAATCATGGCTGTCCGAGGACGCAGTGCTGATTGATGCGGCTCTTAGTCAGGTGGGCGGTGCTGCAGGGCCTCGCAGGCTCCCAGCCAGTGGGAGCTTCAACCAGCTCAGGGAACGCAGGCGCCAGCCTCATCCCGGGTCCCCCTTCGGGTCCCCCTTCGTGAGTCCTCGTGAGGCAGGGAGCGGTGTGATTTCCCTTCCGTGTGGTCGACTGCACTGACGAAGGGCAGTTCCTGAAGACGCAGCGGGAACTCACGGCCTGACGTGTTCACGAGGTCCTGTGCACAGGCCAGGTCAGCTGGACCCTGCAGGAGCCCGGCTAGGATGCGGCCCCCTGTCCCGTGCCCACCGCTGACCCTCCACACCTCCCTCCCCATGTGAGGACCCCCGCAGGTTTGGAGGATTCTGGAAGACGTGCTTCAGTTTCCTGGAGCAGAGATTGTACTTGTTTGTCTCCTGTCTTGTTTCCCTGGCGACTTGGCAGAACTGCCCCTGTTTTACAGCTGGGCAAACCGAGGCCTCGGAGGTTAAGGCTCAGCAGGGTAACAGATGGCGACACAGGACGCGGCTGTGCAGTGGAGACTCTATGCAGAGGCTTTCACATCCCCGCGCATCAGAGCAGGTGCTGGGGAGCGAGCGCCTGAGCTCACGTCGTGTTCGGCCATAAGGGGTTGGATATGCCCCGTGCAGCGGGGTGACCCTTCCCTCACTGGTGCCAGGGCCAGGGCTCGGCTGCACAGGGGCTGGGCCGTCACAGACCAGGTGTCAGGTAGGGAGTCGGTGACGGCAACACGGACCCTCCATACAGGGCGTGCTTTCCACGCTAGGCGGTCCCAGGGTCACAGCTGTGCATCCCGGGGTCACATGTGTGCATCCCAGAGGCATGTGTGTGGCGTCCCGGAAGGAAGGAGGGCCCTGGTGCCATCGGCCTCTCCCGCTGGTCCCACAAGTGTTGGGGCAGGTGAACAACCCCTGTGTGCTCCGTCTTTGGGAATCCACGGACACCCGTGAGATCTTTAGAGAAAACCGTCGGCACTGGAGGGAAGATTAGATTTGGGGGGGTCCCACGTTCCTGGAACTCTGCAGACGTAGTTTAGATTAGACACGTCCCAGAAGCCACGCTTAAACCCAGAGCCGCGCCGCATGGATCTGCTGTTAGTACTTTGATGGTGGGTGTGGACGCTCGTGTTAGGAAGCAGTTGCACTAGATGTCGTGACTCAGTCCCAGACATAGCCCCACCATCCACACGTGTGTCAGGCGCCGGTGGGAAGCGTCGTCACACGAGTGATCTGCACAGTAATTAGCGTTTAATTCAAGCACAGACATCAGGCAGTCGCTGCACTTGCTAGAGGCCCCAGAGCAACGGTTTTCAGACTGTTTGTGGAACTGGGGTTGGAGCAGAGAGGGGGAGGAACCCGATTCCCACGGCAAGGGGGGAAGACACCACGGCAGGAAGTCTCCAGGGGCCAGGGAGGCCCCCTTGTCCACCCTGGGAGCATCCAGCAGGGGCCGGGGAGAGGTTTGCTGCATCCCCTCGGACCCTGGGGCCTGGGGAGTCCACAGAGGATGCTGCATGCGACGTGGGCGGAGGGTCGGACAAGTCTTCCGGGTGCCACACGTAGGGGGGGCGGGGCCCGGGAAGACTCGGCTCGGCCGCAACAGCAGGGGTGGAGAGGGAAGGTGGCACTGCTGCAGGACGTGGTGACGTTTCTTGTACAGGGAGGTGACCGGGAGGCCCCGTGGCTGGATGAACCACCAGAGCTGTGGGCGCCACGGCAGGAGCTGCTTCAGGAGCGCTCGCTGCGCTTGCGGCGAGGCCCAGGCTCCTGGGTGGAATGTCCGACAACAGAGGTGCTGGAACGACGGCCATGCTACCCCTGGGGGCTCTGCAGTTCCCTCTGCAGAGGACCCGGCTGGCCAGGGAGCTGGGCCAGAGGCCGCCTGAGGGACAGGACCCGAGCGAGACCAGTGGTCACGAGTGGAGGTAGCCCCTGAATGCCAAGAAGCCCTGAGGCTCGTGGAGGCGTGGTCTGAGCTCCCACGACCTGGAGCAGTGGGCCGGCCTCTGGATGATGCGCTCGGGAAGGAGGGGAGGGGACAGAGTGGATGCAGAGGAGGTGGCACGTGGCACACGCCTGACTCGGTGATTTGGTTCCTGCTAGCGGTGTTTCTGCCGTTTCTGAGAGTGTCGCTGTCCTTTCCACGTAACTCTTCTCAAGCGCGGTCCCTTTCACTTGAGTCTCACTCTCGTGCACTTTTCCTTACATCACCCTTATTAGGAGTGCCTTTGAAATGATCCTGTCATAGACGCTGGAATTGGCGTGGAGTGGGTGGGAGGCCCGGCAGGGGGCAGGGCCAGGTTAGAACATGCAGGTGACAGGCGGCCTGGCAGCGTCTGGGGAGGTGCAGGGTGGTGTCACCTGTGACTCAGCTGGGCTCCCTTTAAGGGAGGACAGCCCTTGGGTCCTCAGGGTCCTCGCCGTAAATGGAGGCAACCGCGCCTGCTTTGCTGGAGAGATTAAACACGGTACACGCGAAGTTCCCATGCACATGGAGGCTCAGCAGATGGCAGGCACGTGGTTTTGTTCTCAGCGGTGTTATTCGGTGGTTGAATCTGTGCATACTGATAAGACTCCATGGCATCAGCGAGGAAGGCCCAGCCCCTGGACCAGGGGAGGGCAGTCGAACTGAACACTAAGCCTGTCGTGGGGAACCTCACCGATCACCAAGAAGAGCAGCTGCCTTGCCAGGGGCATCATGATGGCCAGGAGCCCCTGGAAACCACGCGTGTGACGGGAAGGGCCACCTCTGAGCGGCCCACGCCGTTCCGGGCCCCTCGACACCAACTCCTGGGAGTTGTGTCCGGGAGGAGATGACGGTCCAGGTGATGCGGAGCTGGGACAGTCCTGATGAAGGCGGCCTCCCTGCCCCCCTTCAGACGAATCAGTTGTTAAAAGGGGGATGTACTTTTCAAAGTCATGTGCAACACAGTATTTAAAAAGCTTTGAAAATTTTTTTTATCAGATATTCATTTTTAATTATTATTTATTTATTAATTAAGTTATTTATTTTTGCTGTGCTGGGTCTTCGTTGCTGCATGCGGGCTTTCTCCAGTTGCAGCAAGCAGGGGCCACTCTTCATCGTGGTGCGCGGGCCTCTCACTATCACGGCCTCTCTTGTTGTGTGGAGCATAGGCTCCAGACGCGCAGGCTCAGTAGTTGTGGCTCACGGGCCCAGCTGCTCCGCGGCATGTGGTATCTTCCCGGACCAGGACTCGAACCCGTGTCCCCTGCATCGGCAGGTGGACTCTCAACCACTGCGCCACCAGGGAAGCCCCCCTGCCAGTTATTTTTTTACTGAGTAGTTCTAAAGATTTCAGTAAGTTTTTAAAACAGCTCCTTTCAGGAGAATTTTAAAAATACCCGTCTCTTTCCTTTCTGCTTTTGGTCCCTGCGGCTCCCTTGGGAACAGAATACTGAAAACAGTTTCCAGAACGATTTTTCTTTTTCCCTTGCAAGAACGTCTGCTTGTTATTGTTGGGTATTGGGGCTGGTTTGAACTTTTTGTAAGAGCCCTGCCGGGTGTGTGTTAGAAAAGCGAAGCCTGTGGATAGAATTCCTGGAATCTGGGAACAGCGTCACAGTGACCCCGCAAAGCCACCCCCGCGGAGGTTGCGTGTGGAGGAGCAGCGCCTGGGGTGCGTGTGGCGTTCAGGGAGGAGGCCCGTGTGCTGAGCGGTTCTCACGTCTGTTAAACGGTCTCTTCCAGGGTCTCGGGACCAACGGTGACCTTCAGGGTGCGCGCCAACCTCCAGAACGTGACAGCGGCGGACGCTGCGAAGGCGGCAGGTGAGGCTGCTTCCGCGCAAGCGCACGCACCCGCCCGGGCAGGGGAAGGGGGCCAGCTGCTCCGAGGACAGCCGTCTCCCCAGAGCCCCGATACTCATCGGGTGGGGCCCGGAGGGGAGTGGCTGGCCTCCCGGGGGTGGGGGGTGGTGACCGCACTGCTCGCTCGGATAGAAGGCGGTGTAGGGGCGGGGCTCCGGCCTCTGCGAAGAGCCCGTGTGGACAAAACAATGCCCTGGTGCTTTGAGGTTTTCCGTCCCGTCCCAGCCCAGCAGCTCGCACGGGCGTCACCGTGCCCGCCCGGCCCACGAGAGCACGGGACGAAGGTCTGAGTAGGCCAGTGCCTGACCTCGGCGTCCCTCTTGGAGCCCAGCCTGTCACGCGCTCACGCATTTCGAGATCTTCTGGGGGGGTCCCAGCGTGTGGTTGGTGTTTGTCACTGAATGAAAAACGCAAAGCGCAGAACGTGGGGTGTGTACGAAGGCTGCTTTCCCCTGCAGCCCACGTTTGTTTTCAGCTACTGAAAACTTGTGTAAAATGTACAGTCTTTCCGCCCAGTAAGAAAAATATAGGAAACCTGACAGAACCTGAGCCTCACGTTTCCCGGTAACTCAGTGGGAAGGACTCTCGTGCTTTATGGTCGTTTGTAAGCGCAGTGGCTGAATGCACTGACCCAGACGCAGCAGAAAATGACTCTTTGTTTCAGCCAATCCTGTATGTGGCTAAATACATGAACTATTTTTAATGAAACCTACATTTTCACCCCAGTGTACAGCGCAGCACGGTATTTGGGCTGACTTAGAGATCTGGGCATTTAGTTCTCGTCCATTGAGGTGTCACCTTATGGCCTCTATTAAAGTTTCTTTATCCAGTGACGGTCAACAGGGCATAAAAATAGCTGTAACACCCTATTTGGTGGAACAAACTGTAGCTCTTCTCTATTTTGGTTGCTGTTGGCTTTTCCTTGTAGGATATTTTGATGCCCTTAGGAACTCTGATTTGCTGAAAGGAATGATTTGGGGAACAGAATTTTTGGTTAAAGAAGAATTCCTTGCGGAGTTGTGCTACTTCCCAGAAAGCCTGTGGAGAGCTGACGCGCACGCCCCCAGCCCACATGCCTCCCAGGCTTCATTTCACTGTAACGGGGTGAGCTCGGGGTCCAGCTGAGCAGAGCGGCCTAGTGGGTCCCGGAGAAAGGAAGTCAGCAGATTCCATTCCAAACACTCCGCTGGATGAAAAGGAGCGGAATTCCGCGTCAGTGGCTTCACCCTGCGTGACCACGGGCGCTCTTTCCCTGCTCAGCACCCATTTTATGGTCCTCGTTCCTCAGCATAAGAGATTATTGAATATATTTAAGACCAAATCAGTTATCACTTTTTACCCAGAAATGCATTAACAATTGTTCCATAATTGGCAATTCATTCCAGTGCTGGGAAGTAATACTTTCAAAATTGGATTTGCTGGAACTTAAGGGTGCTCCGAATGGAATAAAATGGAATGAAGCCTTTTTATCTTTTAGAGTCGTGACAATATATTCATGACAATGGCATTTCATTTATTTTATTGCTTTCTGTGGGAAATGAGGTTGATTATTCGAAGTCTGGTTCCTTGGTCATTTTAAATGTGTTCACGTCAGGTACCGAGGGGGAAATTGTACATGCAGTTTGAGTGTCGTATCACCAACCCTCTAAATACTCAAATTTCTGAATTACATTTTCGTGAACCAGCATAGCTGTGCCAGCCAGGGTGTTTCTTGCTTGTGCAAAATGGATGACACACGTGCATAATTTTAAAACTTCGTTTCTTTGGTATTTTAAATAATTTCATGATGTTATGGATGCACCTGATGCTATACAGGGAAAGGATTACGGAGAAGAGTCTGTGACCATAGGATCTGAGCGTTTGGCGGCAGAATACCAAACTGTAGTGGCACCTCGACCCCGGCCACCTTGAGGGCGTGTTTGCTGCCACCGGGAGAAGCAGCCTCCTCCAATGCGGGGTCCACCTAGGGGTGGACGTGACCCCGTGTTATCAGGAAGAGTTTGAACTTAGAAGGACGTTTTGTGGCTCCAGTTTTAGAACATGATGTGGAATCTTACTAGTGTTGTTGTGGCAATGTGGGCGGGGCCGGCAGGATGGGCCGCGTACAGACCGCCCAGCCTTCCGCCCGCGTGTCGGTGCCCCTGCAGATCCCAGGACCGTTTGCCTTTGGTTCTCGCCGTGGGGCTTCCTGGCACTGCGCTGTACGCCCCTCTTGTTACCAACAAAGGGAGACGTGACCCTGTGATGGAGTTCAAAGGGCATTTCCTTTGCCTATTCTGCACAGGGTGGTACAGAACTTAATGAAGAGTCATGTAGCCGATGACACGTCTGTCCCCGTCAGACATGGTCCGTGTTTGTCCTGAAAGGTGGATGCAGTGGGTTTCCTTATACGGGTGGTTCTTTCCTGGGCATTAATTAGTGAACTTGGGCGTGGACGTCAGGTGTGAGTGAACAGTGGTTCCCTGGAGACACTTCCTGCGTTCAGAGCACACAGAGAAAACTGGTGGTTATGTTCAGTCTTCGTGGCCACGTCATCTAGTCAAATTGAGCAGGACAGAAAAATCCTTTTCTCACTCTTCATTTTCTCGGTAGCTTATCCTTAAGTAGCGTATTTGTAACCCGTGTGTGCGTCTCCCTTCAGGGAGGATGTGCTTGATCACCTTTAGAGGAAGCACACACTCTGCTCCCTGCGCCCCGCGGAGACGCCTGCCCCGTGGTCCTTGGGGCCGTGGCCTCTTGCGTGCGCTGCGCATCCCTCCTGCCCTGAGATCGGCCATGTCTTCTACCCTCCCGGGGGCCTTTTCAGCCTCAGCTCCTCTTTGCTGGGGTGTTTGACTCATGACTGTCCGGCAGGTGATGGGCCGGGCTCAGAGGCTTGTCTCCCTTGTATCTTAGCAGCTACCAGCTGCGTCCTGTCTAATCCAAGCTCTGGCCTCAGCACTCGGCTTCCATTCTCCCTCTGGGCTCATTTCAAGTAACACACGTGATTTTAAATCCTAGCATCTCCCGTTTGGAGAACGATGCCTTTAAACACTGTTGGGTGTGGGCCCAGGGCTGGGAACCAGGACAGCTGGACGCCAAGAGCCACCCCGGACCGTGAGCTCTGCCCAGCCTCCAGGTGAAGGGGGCAGGCATGTCCTTCTGCAAAGTGTGATGCCGTCGCTCCTGGGAGATCGGAGTGACCCCTGCTGTGATGCCCACGCAATGCAGCTGTCTGGACGGCCGACCAGGCTTCTCCCTGACGGGAGCACCACGTGAGGCCCAGGCCACAGGGACATCTGCAGAGCCCGGCCTTCGGAGGAGGGGATGCCTCACCTGGGTGCTTGTCGGGGGGCTCTGAGGACCAGCGTGGGTGCCAGGTGGGCTGGAGGAGAGAAGGGGGCCGTGCAAGGGGCAGCCACGGGTCCGGGCGGGGCCGGCAGCTTGACTGTCACCCGACTCAACTCATGGCAGAGCCTTTGGGTCCATGAGAAGGGCTCAGCGAGTTCATGGCGGCTTGTGGGGTCAGCGCTGCCTTCCTGACACCCAAGGGGCTTGGCCAGTGGCCCAGGTGCCCGCACCTGCACAAGAATCCCGGAACAAGGAGGCTGCTGGCCCAGGGGAGGAGGGGCTCCTTGCGGCAGCGCCAGCTGCACACACAGGTTCCCCTGACGGCCCGGCCTGCTTGCCGTGGTCACACCCTCCGTTCTTGCCTGGGATGCAGTGCCTGCACCTGTGAGTGTGGGCAGGCAGCTGTGCGTGTAGGTGCCCGGAACCGGTTTTGCACGCAGTGTGCTTTCATTGTGATTGAGAGCCCGGAATAAATGTTGGAGGGGCTGGTGAGCCCTGGAGCTAGAAAGAAGGCTGTGCTTTTTCAACGAGACTGAGGAGGATGCTTTGGAAGTGCTCGTGCAGCCCAGCTGCTGAGAAACCGTGCTCTCTGCAGGTGAGCGGGACGCCTGTTAAAAGCTGGTAAAAGCCAAAGCCTACAGGGACTCTCATCTTCTCCAAGACGTGACGTGAGAGAATGGGAGGATTTTTAGGTAAAAGCGACGTCGGGGTTCCTCCTGATCCGTGCCTTGTGGCACAGATGAGAAACGCAGGCCAGAGTGGCGGTGGGCTCGTGGTGGGACGCGGGGAGCCTGCGGGGTCTGCTGACCGGCCCGTGGCAGCGGCGGGGAGCGGCCTGGTCTCAGCTCGCCAGGCAGTTCTGGTGCGGTCGCCTCACAGCCTCGGGCAGGTTCCAGGTCGAGGGCCCGTGAAGCCTGGCTGAACCTCGGGGGTCACCAGCGACGGGCAGGGGGCCCTGCAGGGTCAGCTCACCTGCTGCTCCCATTTCAGCAGGCGGGTTGGCAGACACGGCGCCCGAGGACTGAGGCGGGAAGATGGGCAGCAGAGGAAACCGGCCGGGGGTCTGGGGACTCGGCAAGGGTCTCGGACTCCAACAGGGTGATTCCGGAAAAGAATCTGAATAATTTTCCAGCTCTGTCTGTCGTATATCCTGTGTTGTTACCTGGAAGGGACGAGCTTGCTTTATTTCGCTGAATGGATAGACTGTGTGTTTCCAAAGTGAAGTGGGCGACAGAGGCCTGTCCTCCTGCTGGCCGTCGGATGCACCCTCCATGTCTGCCGTCCAGGAACGAGGCTCATCTGGGCCAGGGGTCACCATGGCCGAGTGAACGTTCCCCCTCCGCAGAGGGAATGTGGCCTGGAGCCCCTGCTTTAGCGGGTGCTTGTGCTTTTCCTGAGGATGAGAAAGGAGTCTAAAGACAGAGCCGCGGTCCTCACGCCTGTTCGGGAGGAAGCAGGGGTGGTGACGGCTTCATCCTGGATGGATTCGCGACCAGCTGCAGAACACGCGGCGGGTGGAAAGGTGCCGCTCTTGCTACTGGAAACAATGAATCTATTAACAGTGAAAACATGCTGTCACTCGGGGGATAGTTCAGTTTTTGGAGAACGCAGCTCAAGAAGTTCCTGTGATA